TGGATGTTGCACAAGCTTTCGACAAAGTCTGGTTAGATGGTTTAAATTACAAACTAGACCAAATACTACCATCAACGTATAGTCAACTATTAAAATCATATCTTTCTGATCGATATTTTAGAGTAAAATACGAAAACGCTTATTCACCAATACATGAAATACGAGCCGGAGTTCCTCAAGGAAGTGTGCTTGGCCCAACATTGTACTTACTCTACACATTCGACCTTCCTCAGGTACCAGAAACTTTAACAGCTACATTCGCAGACGACACAGCGATCTTGGCTGTTGCAGAAAATGAAGTAGTTGCAGCATATAAGTTACAATTGGCGTTAAATTCAATAGAAAACTGGACCAAACGATGGCTAATAAAATTAAATACAAATAAATCGACCTGCATAAACTTTACTTATAAGTTACAAGAAAGTAAACTATGTAAACTACGCCGACACCGCAAATATCTTCTGGATGCCAAACTCAAATGGAAAGCTCACGTCAACAAAAAAACGTGAGGAACTTGATATCAAATTTAGACACCTATATTGGTTTATTAGCAGAAAATCAACGTTATCAGTAAGAAAAAAGTTGCTAATATACATGCAATTATTAAAACTAAAATGGACATACAGAATTTAACTGTGGGGTTGTACCTGCAAGATAAATGCAAGTCTGATTTAAAGATTCCAAAACAAAGTACTAAGGTGTATAGTAAATGAACCTTGGTATACAGGCTGTCCCGTATCTTCCGCATCAGAGCATTCTACGGTTGTAGGATAGATTATTCTGAAGCGATCTTTCTAATAAAATTTTTCCGAAATGTTTATAATTGTCTCGGTGACTATGACTTGTCGCCGATATACCATGTCTAGGCTATGATGGGTCGGTGACTAAGACAAGTACCCAGGCTTCCTGAGAATCTGGATGAACTTCGACACCATCTAGAGGTTGCATGGAACGAGATACCCCAGGAGGACATCGACCATTTAATAGAGAACATGGGTAGAAGAGCTAATGCATGCATAGCTGCGCGCGGGGATGCAACCCATTACTAGCTTTTTCTTGAAAAATGTTAATTTTGGTTTTGTTTTTTTCAACTAAACTTTCATCGTTTCTTAGTTAATAAAGCATTATTTTACCGAAGTTTCAAAATTTTAGTCTAATTCTTAATAGGTGCTGTATTTCATGTGAAAGTGGGTGTAGTACGGCTTGAATTTTGTATTTTTCAAAATAAATTTTTAATTTGTTTTTTTAATTAACTTTTATTAACATTTTTAATTGTATGGGGATATCTGAGATAACTCGCCCCAGGGGCTTTATGGTGAGAGAGTTCTGACACTTCCCTTGTAAGTCGACACCACTGTTTTATTGCCATAGTGATAATATTTTATGTACAAATCAAAAAAATTAATAGTAAATTCTCAAAAAATTCTTGAATAGCATTCTTCATTCTTGCAAAGGGTAGATCTCGTGCCGACGCAGGTAGATGGTTAAAGAATGTAATACCCCAATAGTTGGCATTGTTTTGGGTTTTAGACAAACGATGTGTGGGGATACGCAGTTCCTTTTTGTTTCTAGTTGATAGTTATGGGAATGACAGTTTTTTGGCAGAAGGTATAATTTCTGGTGATCGTTCTTTATACAGTTGCATATATATAATGAAGGTAAGGTAAGTATTTTATACTGAGCAAAATAACTTCTACAACTTTCTCTGCTTCCCAGGTTAAACAATGTATATATCGCTCGTTTCTGAAGTGTAAATGCTTTTCGGCTGCCGAAGAAGCTCCCCAGAAGAGGATACCGTAGAAGATCAAGCTATGGAAGTTGGCATAATAGATGAGTTTTGCAGCTTCTAAGGTACTAATACTACGAATGCAGAAGATCGCGCCATTAAGTTTCTTCGACAGATGTTCAATATGTATTGACCACTTTAGTTCTTCGTCAAGATGAACCCCAGAAACTTTACCGATCTAACATGCGAACTGCCGAATTCTTTGTGAAAAGTAATACATTGAGTCTTATCCTCGTTTAGTAATAATCCATTGTGGTGAAACCATCGTTTCACCTTACATATTGATTCATCTGCATTATTCTTCAAGTCTAAGTTCGTACTACCTTCCGAAAGTATGGTGGTATCATCGGCATATAAACAAAGCCTACTGTCGGGTACGTTGTAAGGGCCCATAATTGATCCATGGGGAATCCCAGTACTGCCCCGAGCTTGCCTCACTAAAACGAGAGGTGCGGACTGCCTTCAACATAGCTAAGAACTCCAGGATCGACTCTGACTGGCACCTCTATAAGAGGAAGCTGTCAGATTTTAAAAAGACCATTCGTCGAAAAAAGCGAGAAGCATGGAAGAACTTCTGTGAGGAAATTACTTCCTCTACAGAGGTTTCCCGCCTAAAAAAGCTGCTTGCTTCGAGCCCTGTTCAACGTATTGGTATACTAAAGAAGGAAGTCTGGCATTTCGCTATGTACCGGGAAGTTGGCGTGAAGTCACGGTCAACTTTATACCTAAACCGGGTAAGCAAGATTACTTCCCTCCGAAGTCCTATAGACCAATTAGCCTCTCCTCCTTTCTATTGAAAACGTTTGAGAGGCTTTGCGACCGTTACATTAGAGACTCTTGTCTGCGCAGCAGGCCACTAGACTCTAATCAACATGCTTACACCCAGGGAAAGTCCACGCTGACGGCTCTTCACTCAGTGATCAGTTTCGTCGGTGGTGCGCTGGACCACAAGGAGTCCGCCCTCGGGGTTTTTATTGACGTGGAAGGAGCTTTTGATAAAACTACCTTCTCCGGAATTAACGACGCCTTGCTAGAGCATAACGTTCCTCTGGCCCTGTGCGGCTGGATTGAGAGCACTCTAAGACATAGGGTCGTCAAATTAAGAGCTGGCCAGGCCACTCTTCAAGGGGCTGTTACTAGAGGCTGTCCGCAAGGGGGAGTACTTTCTCCACTTTTGTGGAATCTCACCCTCGATAGCCTCATGAAACGCCTAAATCTAGCCGGTTTTAAAACCGTTGGCTACGCAGATGACCTGACAATCCTCATAAGAGGCAAGTACGCTAATGTACTCCTCGACAGGATGCAGGAAGCACTCAATCTAATTGAGAACTGGTGTAATAAACAATGCCTTTCCGTCAATCCCAAAAAGACAGAGATGGTTCTTTTTACACGCAAGCGCAACATTGGCAATCCTAGACTGCCAACGCTCGCTAAAATTCCACTTAAACTGTCTACAGAAGTCAAGTACTTGGGCTTAATAATAGACAGTAAGCTAACGTGGAAATCCCACCTAGACAATAGAGTTAATAAAGCTTGTGTCGCCTTCGGCCAGTGCCGGAGGGCTGTCGGGAGGACTTGGGGTCTGTCTCCCAAGATAGCCCTGTGGATCTACACCGCCGTTGTTCGACCAATGCTAACTTACGGTGCGGTGGTATGGTGGACTAGAACTTCTAAGTCTACCGCCACCACTGCGCTTAATAGAATACAGAGACTCGCGTGTCTGTATGTTACAGGTGCGCTGCGATCAACCCCCACAGCGGCCATGGAAATCATGTTAAATTTACCACCACTCAACCTACATATCCAGGAAGTGGCGTTGGTAACCATGAAACGACTACAATCAGTAGGAACTATGAAGGATGAGGACGCTGGCAGCAGTTCAACACTCTGGAGGGAAGCAGTGCTAGACACACCCCTACTCGAGTGTAAGACTGATCACAGACCAGCAAAATATGTTTTCTCAAGGAAGTACCTCACCCACGTCAGTCCCACAGTTGTAGATGTACATAGAACTTTAAAGATCTACACTGATGGTTCAAAAGGACGAAATGGTGCAGGCGCGGGGGTATTCTCTCACGATCCCCTGATTCGCCTCTCAGAACCTTTAGGGTCCAGCACCACCGTCATACAAGCGGAACTAACTGCTATTAAACTTGCTGCTGACTGCATTGTTGAATCCAACAAGCGGGGTAAGTGTTTTACTATTTTTACAGACAGTAAACAATCTCTTTTAGCTTTAAGCAGAGTTATTATAACGTCTGCAGTAGTTATGGATTGTCACAAAGCACTGGAGGAGGCCGCGAAATACAATTCTGTCAGAATCCAGTGGATTAAAGGGCATTCCGGCTCCAAGGGTAACAACCACGCGGACAGGCTAGCCAAACGTGCTGCCGGTAGAGCGCCCTGTGCACCCGAGCCGATAATTACCCCCTCCTTAGCCACTCATATCGAGTTAATAAAGCACATTACCCACAAAAAATTTTTAAACGGGTGGGACCGTACCCCGGGCTGTCATCTCGCTAAGGAATTGTTAAAATATCCTTCAGCCGCAACAGCCCAGTTTTTCGTAGGGCTCGGTAAAAGTGCCCTTCGCACTGCCACAGGTCTCCTCACGAGACACTGTAAAGTAAATAAGCACCTTCAAAACATGAAGCTTGCTGACTCTCCTCTCTGTCGAGCCTGTGAACAGGATGACGAGACGGTTAAACACATCTTGTGTGATTGCCCCTCTTTGACCGACCTCAGAATGAGGACCTTCGGGGAGGAATGGCCAACCACCGATGACATCAGGAATGCACCTCTAGGAGCTGTCCTAGCCTTTGGTAAATCCTTAGGCTGGTTGATGTGACCAGAGCGTGTAATGGGAGGATGCACAAGGGGCCCAATGGGGCCTAAGTGTGGCGTGCGGTTTTGCATGCACTCCCCAATCCATACATACATACATAATCCCAGTATGAACTTCGACTTCTCGTGACATTCTCCCGTCGATTACCACAACTTGTTTTCTATACTGCAGATAGGACTTTAGGATATCATATGTAATTCCGCGCACACCATAAAACGCCAACTTGTTTAGTAAAAGATCATGTTTAGGTTTACATTATCGAATGCTCTTGACAGATCCACACTCACTAGTTCCACAAATTACCTTTGAACAAGTGCCTTCAAGATATCTTGAATTGTATCATCTAATGCAGTATTTACGGATCTACCTTTGCGGTATCCATGTTGGTAGTTAGTGAAAAGTTTGTTTTTCTCAAAGAAATTCTAGATTCTATCTGCAATCTAATATTCTAGTAGTTTTGAAATTGTAGGCAATATCGAGATAGGTCTGAAATTTTCTGGTTTGCTTATATCCCCCTTTTTATATACAGGAACTATTTTAGCGACTTTTAATTCCTCAGGGAATATTCCATGGTTGAGGCACATGTTAAAAATGTACACTAAATGAACACATAAGCTTGATATAGATTTTTTTAAGAAGGCCATAGATATTCCATATATGTCCTCATTGCTTTTTGGTGCAAATTTCTTTACTATCGACATAATCTTGGTTTGTATTGATAGAGTCTTCATACAGTTGTTTGCTAAATCCGAATTTACTTGATTTCCAATTGTTTGAATGTATTCATTAAACTCTTCAGGTGTAACCTCAATTTTGCTCTTCGTTTTCTTGTTTACCTTTAATTCATTATTTATTAATTGCCATACCTTCTTTTGCCTTTTTGGTGCATTGTAGATCTCATTTTCGTTTTGCAATTGCTTTTCACGTTTTATTTCGTTTCGTAATTCATTTTTATATTTATTATAAATTCTGTATGCCTCGTCTGTTTTTGTACATTGCACAAGAATACTTAAAATTTCTATGGCGTTTATTCTATCCTTTATTCTTGTTGGTAAATATTGGTTGGAAAGCATACTAGATTGCAATGTAATTTCTCTTTTAGGACAACATTTGTTAAAGACGGATATCAAATGACTAAAGTATAAAACGTTCGAAAACAGCATAGTAGGTGAGATCTAATCATTTTCGTTAAAGGAGTATCGAGATATTTCCATATTAAAACGGTAAGTGTTTTCATGATTCATGTTCCTACGTGTAATAACTTCGGCACAAACAGCTCTAATAATTGTGCATAATGGTCCGACAGATGAAGATTGGTCGTTTGTGAATAGTATTGATCTTTACTGCAATTTGTAATTATATTGTCTATACAAGAACGACATGTTGATGTTGCTCTCGAAGTTTCGAAAAATACACTGTAAATTAAAACTCTCAGAAATGTCTTGCAGTTGCACAACTTCATACTTTCCCATGGCTTGTACATTTATATTAAAGTCTCCCGCAATAAATACTTTTTTTATCTCTAATTTCTTCTTCTATGCTACGTAACATATCTTGAAATCTGTCAGAAAATATTTCAAGATTCCCTCCAGTTGAACGGTGTATACT